AAGGTACAAACTATTTTACCCTTTGCCCTTGGACTTCCACTGCCACTACCAAATGTTTATCTGGATTTATTGGGAAAACGTTGTTTGGAAACATCTTCCCCCCCCCCCCCCCCAAAATCCTCCCAACCCTTGCACCCCACTTCCTGGGGAAGGTTTGGTAAAAATTCTCACCAATTTGCATAGGTGACCACAGACCCAAACCCTTGGATCTTAGAACAATGAAAAAAGCATTCAGTTCTTGAAAAGAAACATTTTAATAGAAGAAACAGTAAAAAGAATCACCTCTGTAAAATCAGGATGGTAAATACCTTACAGGGTAATTAGATTCAAAACATAGAGAATCTCTCTAGGCAAAACCTTAAGTTACAAAAAGACACGCAGACAGGAATATTCATTCTATTCAGCACAACTTAATTTCTCAGCCATTTAAAGAAATCGTAATCTAACGCATATCTCGCTAGATTACTTACTAAGTTCTAAGACTCCATTCCTGTTCTGTCCCCGGCAAAAGCATCACACAGACAGATACAGACCCTCTGTTTTTCTCCCTCCTCCCAGCTTTTGAAAGTATCTTGTCTCCTCATTGGTCATTTTGGTCAGGTGCCAGCGAGGTTATCCTAGCTTCTTAACCCTTTACAGGTGAAAGGATTTTTCCTCTGGCCAGGAGGGATTTTAAAGGTGTTTACCCTTCCCTTAATATTTGACAGTGTGTATCTGCTTATGTGCTGATTACATCCACCTAGTTATTCATTTGGTGTAATGACTATTTAAAAATATCTTTGCACTGGAGTGTGCTATAGTTAACCTATGCATAACCCGTCATGCTGTTGTCTTACTGGATCTAAAGCTAAGCAGGGTCTGACTGGGTCATTAGTTCAATGGGAGAGACATCAGTGAATGTATTGCTAGATAAGATGCAGTATACAACAACCTTAATTCATAGCATAATTTTATAGGGATCATTATGAGAAATGAGGTGTTGAGCCTTAAAAATAACATGAGCATTTGTGGATATAAGTGCTACAGGATCTTTCAATATTGATGAAGGTGTTAGCCCAAGTATCCTGGCGGAAGTCCAACCTGGTTAACTGCTTCTGTACACATACTAAACTTACCCTGCAGTTTTCAAAGAGTACAGTATTCTTTACTTCCAATCATATTCTGTTGTATAGGTGCTGATGGTTGTTTTTAAACAGCTACTAGTTTCATTGGTGGGTGACATTATCTTGGTTATACTAAGACTTATTTTGCAAATGGATCTTTGTGGGAGGACCTCTGCATCTGTTGGAGCCATGTGCCTGTGTGGAGCCCTGTTGGCATCAGTGGAGCTCTCCATGCGTGCAGGGGTCTCTCTGTATGGAGCAGTTTGCAGGTTCAGTGCATGAATATATTTATGAATCTTTCATCATGAAGGATTCCTGACATGCTTTACAGATGTATTGTGTGTGGAAACTGGAACAGAGCCTGCCTGAATTATGACATTCTAACCACGGCTTTTAGTCATAATTTGACTGGCCATCAAATTTATCTGCATTTAAGAAAAGAAAATTTGTTGAAGTAGTTTAGTTGTAGGTGTTCTATGATGGAAATTTACTTTCTATGGATTGTTATATTTAAAAACAAATCCAGACTCAATGTATTGTATGTATATTTATTTATTTGCTTTATGGATGTCCACAATATGATTAACTTCTTGCAGAATATTCAGTTGTTGATCTTTTATATTTTACAAAAGGTAAGAGAACAGTTAAAGAATGATGAATTGTATCCAGATGACTAAAAACAAGGTTGATATATTGGTGAAAGAGAAAATTTTAGACAAGCTCAATTTTGAATGAGTGAAAAATAATTGCCACAAGATGGCAGCAAAATTTAAGAAAAGTAAATAGTATTCTGTATTTCTAAAAGATTAATTCTAAGAATTGTTTTCACATACATTTACATTTTGAGGGAAAAGAGTGTGGCATTGAAAGCTTAAGATCAACATCTGATTAGGCTGATATAATATGCAGACTTTCTTTAATAATTTTGCTCAATTTTTCTTTTTACAAACATTGTTTAATATAATAATGAGGTTGTCAAGCTGTCTAGAGTAGCTCACAAGCGTAAGTGCCACCCTCAGGGGAGACTGTCAAGGATTAGGGCACAAACCCCAAACTTGTTGTGTATGTTCTATTAGATTTCTCCAACCATTGTGGAGAAGTGTGACAAGTTCTCTAACAAGTGTGAACTCATGCACTATAACAGCCTTAACATGGAGTCACAGACAGTCCCCTTTGGCAGTCCAGTCTATCTTGCCATCCACGCAAGCCCACCTTTGTGATAGATGGTCAAAGATCCCAACAATATTAAGGTTACTTCCAGTCCCAAAGGACCAGTCACTTGCCCCACATCAACTGAACTTCAGATCTCAAATCAAAGACAAATTTTGTAGTCAACCCTATAATATTAATTAAAGATGTATTGAAAAAGAAATACAAGTTATTTTATTCCTGGGGTAACTCTGTGCCAAAAAAATTAAAAATTCTGTGCACAGTATTTTAAAATTCTGCAAATTTTATTGGTCAAAATAACACTACGTAATAATGCCAGTTTCAATTATTTTGGTAATTTATTTCAGAATATCTGTCAGCAAGTATGTTTGTAATAATACAGAGACACACACAAATTCTACCAGGAGTGGAGAATTAAAACAAACCCCTGTGACAACTCGGTTCCTGTTTCTCTACCCCCCGCCCCTCCGAGCCCAGTCAGGGGACCAGACACCCACACCCCCTTCTCCCCAGAGCCCAGCCTTGGGGGCCCCCCCCCAACCCAGATACCTGCGCGCACACACCTAGAGCCCAGCTGCAGGGCTTCCCCTTGCCCAGATACCTGCATCACTCCCCCCCCAACCCCCCCCGCAGAGCCCAGGGATCCAGATGCAGAAACAGCCTGAAACTTGGTCCCAGGCTTGTGTGGAGTTTCCTGCGCACCACCATCTCCTTCCCTCAGGGTGTACGGAACTGCAGCTGCCAGGAACCCTCTAGCTCTCTCCCCTGGCAGTGTCTTCTATGTTTGAGCTGGGCTCTGCCAGGTCCAGCCGCTGTTAGTGGTGGCCAGCAGCACCGCAGCCCATTTCCGTGGGGGAAAGGAAATTCTGTGCGCACAACATTTTCTGCAAAATTGTGCAGTGGTGCAGAATTCCTGCAGGAGTATTATTTAAACAGTCGAAGCAGGTAAACATACACACAAATGAGATACAGTCTTAGGTTCTAAAGGGCAACAGTAGCTGCTATAATATGCAAGCTCTGTATGTCATTTAGGGCTAAGCCAAGCCAAGCAGCTTGGGGATCTCTTTCTTATATTTAAAAATATTACCCTCTCCAAATTCTTAGCAGTACAGGGATGAAAAATTATCTCCTTCTCATAGACCTCAAACTGATGTGACTAGGGTTTATGCACATCTCGACTTCCTGGGGCATGGGGGGCGGCAAATCAGTCTTTTTTTTGTCCACTGATGTTCCACAATACCTTTTCTGATGTCTATTGGCCTTCTTTTGTTGGGGAGGAGATGATACCTCTTGTGATAAACAAGTATTTCACACTTGGTAATGCTTCTCCCCTGACTGTGGTTTTACAGTTTTTGCAAACTTTTATAGTTACAAAGCAAACATGGAAATATTACCTTATAACATAGGATACAGATATTATAAGTAAGATTAATATATGCAGCTTCCTACAAGCATTTCATAAAGTCTAAACATGTTCTTATAACTCTAATATCTATTTTAGAATACTAAAACAAATGCGAGGCAGATTGGTTTCCAGCTACGCCTTTGTCAATGTTCAGTGAAGCTGAGGGACCTTGGCATGAGCTGGCACCTGGTCTGCCAGCATCACAGAGGTGGTATGCCCTTTAACTTTTATACTCTTAAATTCTAATAGAAAAAGTAGCTATAAATCTAAACACGCAGGATGCAGATCTGATGGGAAAAACAAGGTGCCATTTTTTAGTTACATTTTAAGTGGATTTAATTTGTCTCCATGCTAGTTTGACCAGATAAATCTAGAAATTTATATCCATTTTTCCTGCCAGGAGAAGCCCACTTTGCTCCATACACACATTTTAAAATTGCTTTTCACCAAAGTTAACTAATAACTGTTGTATCTAATACATAAATGTCCTGTGTAGCTCGTCAGAGGATTTATCACTTCAATTTAAGTTAGGGATTACAAGGATAGGGTGGACTTTCCAGCCTTAGGGTTTGGTCAGAAGCAGAGTAAATTAACATAGCTGTCAGATTACATCTAAGGTTTAATTATGCTAATTTCAAGTATCCTTAAATTCTTGCTGGAAGGCTGATTTTTCCATCACTCTTATCCTTCTAGTAAGAACCACCCTTTCTTTTATCAAAGCAAAGGATAGTTTACATTTTCACTTTTACTTAAAGCAGAAAGGCTTGGACGTAGGCTATGTCTACACTAGCTCTTTTGTTGGTATAAGTTATGTCGCTCAGGTGTAAAAAATCCACACCCCTGCGTGACTTAAGTTTTGCCAGCATAAGCACCGGTGTGGACCGTGTTGTATCAGTAGGAGATGCTTTTCCGCTGACACAGCTACTGCTGCTCGTTGAGGTAGTTTAAGTATGTCAACGGGAGAGCGCTCTCTCTCATCAGAATAGAGCGGCTACGTGAGTGAGTTTACAACTGCGCAGCTGCATTGCTACAGCTGTGCCGCTGTAAATTCACTAGTGTAAACATGTCCTTAGTTTAGAGTTTCTCCTCAAAAGCTGACTCTTATCTCTAGTTTTGTGGAGTGGTCTAGTGCTTCAGGTGTGAGGGGTGTTTTCTTTAAGTGATAAACCACTATACATTAAATAGTGACCTTTGGTGAGAACACTAACATCCCTCACTGATAAGAGCTTCATATTTGGAGGGATTGTAATCTATTGAATATTGGACTAAGGATTAGGAAATCTGGTTTCTATTCTGTTCTACACACAGATGGAATACAAGCTGTCAGGAACAGTATCCCTGATGATGCCACAGCACAACTGGTTGCTGAGCTCTGTGACTTTATCCTCAAGCACAATTACTTCAAATTTGGTGACAATTCCAGACCAGTGGCACTGTTATGGGCACCTGCATGGCCCCACAATATGCCAACATTTTATGGCTGACCTGGAACAGCAATCGTCTACTCACGCCCCTTCTCTACCTACGCTGCACTGATGACATCTACATCATCATCTGGACCTATGGGAAGGAAACCCTGGAAGAATTCCACCAAGATTTCAACAGCTTCCACCCCACCATCAACCTCAGCCTGGATCAGTCTACATGGGAGGTCCACTTCCTAGACACCACAGTGCAAATAAGTGATGGTCACGTTAACACCATCCTATACTGAAAACCCACCGACCGCTATGCCTACCTTCATGCCTCCAGCTTCCATCCCAGACACACCACATGATCCATTGTCTACAGCCAAGCGCTGAGGTACACCCGCATTTGCTCCAATCCCTCAGACAGACCAACACCTACAAGGTCTTCACCAAGCATTCTCAAAACTGATACCCATGTGAGGAAATAAGGAAACAGATCAACAGAGCCAGACGTGTACCTAGAAACCTCCTGCTGTGAGACAAGCCCAAGAAAGAAAGCAACAGAACTCCACTGGCCATCACATACAGTCCTCAGCTAAAACCTCTCCAACGCATCATCAGTGATCTACAACCCATCCTGGACAATGATCACTCACTTTCACAGGCCTTGGGAGGCAGGCCAGTCCTTGCCCACAGACAACCCGCCAACCTGAAGCATATTTTCACCAACAACGACAAACCGCACCATAGTAACTCAGGAACCAATCGATGCAACAAACCTCAATGCCAACTCTGCCCACGTATGTACACAAGCGACACCAGCACAGGACCTAATCAGATCAGCCACACCATCACCGGTTCATTCACCTGCATGTCCACCAATGTAATATACGCCATCATGTGCCAGCAATGCCCCTCTGCTATGTGCATCGGCCAAACTGGACAGTCCCTATGTAAAAGGATAAATGGACACAAATCAGATATTAGGAATGGCAATATACAAAAACGTGTAGGAGAACACTTCAATCTCCCTGGACGCACAATAGCAGATTTAAAGGTAGCCATCCTGCAGCAAAAAACCTTCAGGACCAGACTTCAAAGAGAAACTGCTGAGCTTCAGTTCATTTGCAAATTTGACACCATCAGCTCAGGATTAAACAAAGACTGTGAATGGCTAGCCAACCACAAAAGCAGTTTCTCCTCTCTTGGTGTTCACACCTCAACTGCAGGAAGAGGGCCTCATCCTCCCTGATTGAGCTAACCTTGTTATCCCTAGCCTGCTTCTTGCTTGCATATTTATACCTGCCTCTGGAAATTTCCACTACATGCACCTGACAAAGTGGGTATTCACCCACGAAAGCTTATGCTCCAATACAAAAGCTTATGCGTCCAATACGTTAGTCTATAAGGTGCCACAGGACTCTTTGCTGGTTTCTATTTGTGACTCTTAAAGCAAGTCATGTAACTTGTCTGCATTTCTGCTTCCCCATCTTTAAAATGGGAGTAATGATGCTTGACCACAGTTATGAAGTATTATGTAAGAGTATTATTAGTTACTGTATTATATGTTATTGTATAGGCTGGTGATTGGCAAATTACAATACAGGAATGGTTACTTGCAGCTCTACCTGCCAAAATGTAAAGACCAACCCAGAACAAAATCCAGGATAACTTTATGTATTTTTGATTTCTTGGGATAGTCCTGTGTTGCAGATCGAGCGTAATTAAAATGAGCAAAATGCCATTGGAAACACAAGGTGATAGGATGCTTTGTTTCTGGAAGCTTTATTTTAAAAAGCCTAAGCAGTAGAGCCTAGGCAGCTCCCCTAGTAAAATGCCACTAGCACTGGGTTTGCTGATCAGCAGTGAGTTCAGAAGGGATGCTACCTGTTTAGTTATTAGCATTACATTGTCCTTTAGTTTTGATTTCATCGCTATACTTCCGTGTAAAAATCTTATTTGCCTTGATTTTGGCCCTGTATCTTTGTCAGTTTATGTATGCTGCAAGTATTATCATATTGCTAAACTAAAAGTGAAAGCTATCAAAAGGTAGAACTATTATCATTTAATTAGTCTGTAATCTTTTATTAATCAAATCCATAAGAGTATGATGATTTCAGTTCTCGTGCCCTTAACTTGTCATTCCCAACCCTTATTATAAATCTCAGATATCTAAATTACTCTGTTTTCTCAGGCCATCATATGTTATGTTATAAATAACTTCAACGTTTTTCACAGAGAACAGCAGTGTTGCTACATTGCACAAGAAAGAAGGGGACTTTCATGTTTGTTAATAAAGCTTGTTTCATCTGTAATATAACAGTGGTAAATAAGCAGATGAGATGTTTTAAGCGGCAGTGATCTCTTCCATTCACTGGGATGAGCTGTGCTCAACTTAATAGTTTATTAACCTGGGAAACACATTATACCTGCAATATGGATTTTCATATTAACCCATGATTGCCCCTTAATTATCCATTTGATTCCTGTTTGTTTTGTATGTATCATGTTAAAGCTAGTGTGGTCTCCAGCTGTTGTTTACTCCCAGTAGATAAAATGTTTGAGACATATTATAGCTATTTAAGAACAGTGTGATATGTTGTTACAAACCTTAAAAAGTCCCATTAGAGCTAAATAATTACAGATAGATACAAGTACAGTATCCACTAATGAAAACATATGTAACACATGAAGAACTTTCTTTTTTCACTTTACTAACAGGAAAAACGTGGCCTCCGAGAAGTGAGAGTTCTTGAAAACCTAAACACCATGATCAATGAGACAAATGACCAAACTCTCCCTAAATGTGAGCAGGTGATGCATGACGATCTGAATGAAGCGTTGAAGAGATGTAAGCAAGAAGCTATTGTTGTTTTTGTGATGCAGTATTTTTAAAGGAATAATTTCAAATAATTTGGACTCCTTGCTAAAACTGCTATCGTCTAATAAGTCTTATACATCCAAATGTTTAATTCTCAGCTCTGTGCAACTTTAAAAAAGGCTGACAGAATGTGTATTTCTGCTCTACTTTGACCTTATCAAATTCCTGTTAATGTTACTTTATAGCCTTTCTATTGACTTAAGTGGGAGTTTTCAGATCCTAAAGGTGCAGCCCAACTTACTATGTAAATGGAAGGCAGTGTTGCCTGGTAGCTAGAACACTGGACTGGAACTTCAGTGCTGTGAGTTCAATTCCAGGCTCTGACATCCTGTGGGATGATCATAGGAAGTCACTTCATTATCTCAATTTTAAAGATTGAAAAAATGAGCCACAAAAAAATGATCTCCTTTGTAAAACAGCACTGTGTATGTATGGTTATTTAAAAAAACAAACAAACAAAAAAGAAACTTAGAGCACTTTTCATCCATAGATCTCAAGGTGTGCTTTTACAAAGGAGATCATTATCTCCATTTTAAAGATTGAGAAATAGAGGTTCAGAGAGGTGAAGTGACTTTCCCATGGTAACCCCACAGGCTAATGTTAGAGGCTGGAGTTGAACCCAGGACAGTCCTCCAGTATTCTATCTACCAAAGCTACAGTGTCTCCCATTTGTACAGTAAGTTTGGCTGCATTTTTAAGGTCTGAGAACTCCCACTGAAGTCAATGGAAGGGCTTTAAAGTAACATTAACAGGAATTGGATAGGGCCAAAATGGAGCAAAAATGCACTTTGTTTGCAACTTGTTTAAGTTGCATACAGATGTGCATGCGCGCTCGCGCTCTCTCTCTCTCTCTCTCTCTCTCTCTCTCTCTCTCTTCATCTATTTATGACAGAAGATCATTCCTGTATGTGGATACAGTGCTAGTTTGATTGTTATAACCATCCAATTATATCTTTTATGGTGTACACTTTATGAAATATGCTCTCTTCTAAGGTCTGTATTTTTCTAGCTTTGTCAGTGCCATTGTATTTTATACTTTCATCTTAGCCAGCAGCACAGCCTTTCTTAGACACAAATTGGGATTAGGTAATTAACTAACTACAAAATTCAATCTAGCTGTAAAATTAAGTAATTTATGTATGTCAATAATATTTCACTTTGTTATAATCAACTTGTAATATGTATAAGCACGGTCTCTGGCATGCATTGAGTAGTACACAGAAGGAGATACTACACATGTGTAGTAAAGATTGTAGAAAAATATTTAGACTTTGCATACTCCTGCTCAAAGAATGCAGTCATGTAAGTAAAGCCTGTATCCAAATATATACACGCTAGGGGGCATAGCAACCTTGAAATGGCAATTACCTGACTTTTGAGTGTTTAGCTGTACAATCTATTCCGCTATATGGCAGTACTGTTGCTTTAATGATTATAAGAATAAATGAGTGACTGATATAAATATTACAGGAAACTGAGTTTTGTGTTCTTGAATGCAAGACACCCGTTGAGGGAAAAAATGAGTCTGTTCCATTGTGCACAGCGTGTATAGAATATGATGTTAAACAAGTCTGAAACTGGCTAAAAATACAGTTACCACTGTTGCTAACACATTTTCATAGAGCTAGAATCACAATGTAGAGGAGACAAGCTCCAATTTAAAAATGTTCTCCTTGTATAGTCTTTTACTACATCAATTATATTTGGAAAAAAATAAGTAACAAAGAAACAGCCAAAACTTATTGTTCACCCCATCAAGTTCTAGTTATTGCTTTACAAGACTTTTAGATCTTTTCTGCGGTGCTGAGTAGTGCACAGTAACTTGTCAGCAATATTATGGAGTATGGGTACAGGAGGACTTGGCTGCCTTTCCTGTTTGGTTTCTGGAAAGCACAAGGGTGCAACTTAGTGCTCTATGTCCACATAGTTAGCATTGTAGAGTGCTTCCTACAAATACTGGCAAAACTTTTCAATGTAAAGGTAAGTGATCCCAGTGGGCAAAACCCACAGTCTTTCTGTGTACAGTGATAGTCTCCCAGTAGCCTCATGGATTTTAAGCCTCTCTGTCAGGCTTCTCTTTGAGCTAGGGTAGCTGATTAATAGACTGCAATTTGTTTGTTTCAGTGCAAGCAGCCAACCAGAGGATCTTCAGACTCCAGCAAAGGGAGCAGGAAGAAAGAAAGGTAAAGACAGATGGGTGGATTTATAATGTAACCTAAATATAAGATTCTCAAACTCATCCACAGCAAATCTGCTTGCTACCTAAAAATTCTTCAGTAAAACATGATTTAGGAATACATTTTAACTGTCATTTGCTAAAAATGCAACTTCCTTTGGAATGACTTCTGCAGATGTAAGAAGGAGCTGAGTAAAGCAGCCAGCAGTCTGTGTTATAGGAGCAAAAGACTAATAGAGTCACCAGCTCCTCCCTCACTCTCCAAATGTATGGAAATGTCTTAAAAATTTCCTTTTCAATATTTTCCCCCTCTTTGCTCGGAGTGTGGTATTTGTCACATATGGGAGAAATTTTAAAAAAACCAAAAAACGTTATTTTCTGTGGAACAAAAAACACTCACGAATCTACCAGAATGGAAATGTAAAGCTTTCCTGGTTAGCTGAAAACACTGAGTATGTTATTGCTTGTTGAAAAGGAAGCATTTCATGCTTGTGCACTGGTTATTTAATGAAAGGCCATATTATAGGAATATGTGAATCATTGGAATCCCTCAATGGGCCGCACGTTGCTTGTTTGAATTACGTCTACTCTAAACCTCAAATTTGGAAAATTGTACAACAAATTAGTTTCCTATGGTACTTCTGCATTTTCCCATTTCACCTTTCATGACTGTATTTCAAAATGGTACTTCATAATTATGTGGAGATGCAGAAAATGCCAGAGCTGCCATTCTGACCTAGTCACATGAACTAAGACGTGCAGTTATGTGTATCGGCAGGTGTTCAGATTTTTCCTTGCAATATGTCATGCTTTTCATGATCAGCAGAGATGGCTAATCTACTGCAGTAGAGTACTGGCACTGTGTGAATAGTATCATGTCATGGGCCCTGTCAACATTTAGATTCATTGTACCTAACACTGAAATGTAGATAGGAAACTGGATGAACCTACTGCCTCTTGTAGTTCTGCTATTCTTTCTGAAGTGAAATTGAAAAAGGTGGCTTGCTCTGTTTCAGAATGTTCATATTACTATATCTTCCCACTCGAGTATCAAGTTTATAGGTGGAGCACTAATCACAGCTACAGTTAAGGTTGTGTGCATGTTTCTTTTCAGGTGTGGTAAAACTTTAACTTCCTGGGTTGAAACTTCCCAAGTCTGGTCACTATCAGGGAGGGTGATTTTTATTTATTTCATTTGATTTGAATGAAATGATTCAGCCACTTTAGAGAAAGAGAGAGAGGAGAATGAGACAAAATGCTTTCCCTTATTGCATGTTTTTTTGTTAGTTAGTTTGCTTGTTTTTAAAAACAAACAAACAAACTGTTTTGGCTTTTTTCTATCACGCTAATGTCAAAATGGCTGGTGTTAGCAACTTGAAAGTAGTTGGGGAAATACTTCTCATTGAGGAGGGAAGTGCACTTTGAGTGTTCCAGTGAAAACTGATCTTGTGTTTGTGCTATTAGAGTTTGAAAACACTCTCTCCACTTGTACAATTCCACTTAGCTACTATTATGAAACTTCTAAATGAAGGAGTGCTTGTACTGTGCACACATCTGGTTAATTTAGGTGTAGAGCGATTTTTTGTGCGTCTCCAAAGGTGTCCATTGAATGAGGTAGCACTCTATGGGCTCTCATCCTCATCCACCACTGGGTGGTCTAGTCATATAGTTCCAGGTTGTGGAATATTTTTTTTTTCTTTCTATCTTTGAGGATAGGTAGGAAACCATAAAAATATCCATTAAAAAGTTTTGAGAACATGCCTGTGTATTGCATATGTTCTTTTTTCTTTCTAAAACAATTTTCTGTATGAGGTGAAGCAGTGTCTGTAGATAAAGTTACCTAACATTTCCAAGTATAAATCCCCATTTTCAATTGCTTTTAATTTTAAACATTGGGGTGAAATTTTCCATGTTTGGTCTCTGCCTAAGTTTGTTGAAACTATTAAAAAGATTCAGAAATAGCTCAACTGTTTCGAAGAGCGAGGTTAGGGGATAATGGGTATCTTTGCCAAAGTGTGGGGTTTTTGGTTTGTTTCTGGTTTTGAGTTTTTCATGTGGTAGAGGTTTTTGGGTTTTGTTTTGTTTGGCATAGCCATTGACTTCATTATGAGAAAACATAACGCATTCAGAACAGGTATCACATGTCTCAATAGTACGCTAGAGGATCTCAATTTTGCTACTGACCTAGCTGTCAATGACAGTTCAGTCAATATGCAAGTAAAGACTGGAAGATTGTCCAGCATCGCAAAAAAAACAGGTTTAATACTTCCTTATGAAAAGTAAATCTGAGAAACCCAGCAACATCCAACTCAAGTATTTGATTTAGGAGGCAAAGGAATACAAGAAGTAAGTCAATTTGCATACCTTGATAGTAAAATGCAAGTCAGTGACAATGCCCACAAGGAAATAACATCACAAATTGGCATGGTGGAAGCTGTGTTCAACAGTTTAAACAAGATTTGGTCATCAAAAATCTACAACTTAAAGAACAAACTGAATCTTCAAATCTTCAAAAATAACTTTTGAAGTGTAAGAGAGTGGCCCATTACAGACAGTTGACAAGAAGGTGTGAGTAACAGCATGGGCCACTCTCTTACCACTTCAGAAGTTATTTTTCCTCCCTTGGTATCTTGCTATTAATTGATTTATCTTGTTAGATTGACCTCACACTTGGTAAAGCAACCCCCCATCCTTTCATGTATTTATACTTGTTCCTGTATTTTCACTCCATGCATCCGATGAAGTGGATTCTAGCCCACAAAAGCTTATGCCTAAATAAATGTTAGTCTCTAAGGTGCCACAAGGACTCCTCCTTGTTTTTACCATGTCATGTGTGCTGTTGGACAGCTGGAAGAGTATGCAGAAGGGGTTGACCAAAGGCATGCCTCCAAACACCACTCATAGGGAAACTTATGGGCCTGAATGACAGAGGACATGCAAAGAGCGAGTCAAGATAGACAGAAATGCAGAGCCCTGTTTGTCCACTAAGCAACATTTGATAGTGCTGGAAGGATTCAGAATTTTTAATAATTAAGTGTTTTTTGCAATGTAGAGCAAAAACCTGAAATTTCATAGGGGGATAGTAAGGTGCCTTTTGCTGTCCCTGTGAAAATCAGTCCAGATTCTGCCAAATTAATTAACAGCCAGGAGAAATTGCCATTTGCACAGCATAGTAAAACGTGTTCAACCTGGGTGAAATTTTATGGCCTGTATTATGCAAGAGGTCAGACTAGATGATGGTCCCTTCTGGCCTTAAAATCTATTAAAGTATCTCTTTCTTCTCTAATGGGTGGTCCACATTGAAGATAACAACCTATTACTGCTGTCAAAGAAGTTACTCCTTTAGTTTAAGTGGATAGAGGTCTGTGGTGTTTGTCTTGAAGTCCTTTGAACCCTGATGATGAATATGTGAGGGCTATTATGATTGCACACAACAGAAATTCTAAGGTTTTTCAAGTTATTTTAATAAAATAAAACTAAGAATCAGGCAAGGGTCCTGCAAACAGCCTCATTGACTATGCAATCCTGCATCAGGAACAGGCAATCTTAATTCTAGAATTTCTTGTCTTCTGAGTGCTTGGCTTTACAAACTTAATGTTTTTAAAGTATTTATTTTATATGGAAAAGAGATGTAGACACAATCTCCCTTATCTCATTCATTGCAAACTTTTAGAATATGATTTATATATTCCTCTTTATTATTATTTTTAAAAATTTTTTATTGGATTATTATGCCATACCTGTCACTGTGGTACCCGGTCATCTTAAAACCCTGTAATATCATGTATGTACAAGGAGGCATAGTGGAGTTGCATATATAACCTTAGCTCTGATCTATCTGGACTTCTGAGTTTCTAACAGTGCAACTTTCCCACGCTCTTAATGTAGCTTTGCTTATGGAATATCTTTTTCATGTGCCAATATAATTGCATTGGTGTGGCTTAATTCACTTCAGCTTCAGAATTTAACAAAGGTAATAACATGGCTTTCTATTTTTAAATGTCGTCTCTTTCCTGCCACTGTCTCTTAGAAACTGCAAATGGTGCTAATCCAACTGTTTTGGGACATTTAAAAGACAGTTGAGGATGATTTTATTTTAAAAAAATTGGACTTGAAAATTCTTTCTTCTTCAATCTGTGTGTAAACTAAATACATCTATATTTTATTCTTCCCATGAGTGCCATTAATTTTTCTGCAGTGTGATGTCACAGAATGTAAATAAAAGTGTCTTTTAAAGTTTTCTTTTTAAACGGCTTTTTTCAATTTTTTTATATTTTTGCCGAGTACCACATTGCCATGAAATGCTGTGGACGTGTTTGAACAGCAGGAAATTTTTGGCTTGTCTAATACTTAAGACACAGATTCTTACTTATAGCTAACCAAGGAGTTAAAATATGACTTTGCCTAATGATTCCTGGCTACATATCCTGGTAGAATTGTACAATACTATGAATTATGTAAGACTTCTGTTTTGATCAGGTGTAGTTTATGTGTATATGTGAACTTGCACTTCAGTTCTTCCACAGATAGGGAGTGTGATACAGCATGGCCAGAAGGCAGCAGGAGAGTGATATAGGAGAGATATGTAAGTCCCAGGTTGAGGAGAAGTCTTATTCCCTGTATAGGGAAGAAAGGTTTTTATAGATTAATTAAAAGCACCTGAAGCCAATTAGAGCACCTGAAGCTAGTCACCGGATAAAACCCCCCCTGCTTCAGAGAGCAGTTTGAAGGAGTTGAAGTAGAGGAGAGTTTGGAGAAGTGCCGTGGCTGGCTAGAAGACCAAGACCCTAGGTAAAGAGACACCCGACTTGTGCAGAGAGAGAGAGGGCAGGAAGCCCCACAAGCTGAAGAGCAGGAGAGGGAAGTAGCCCAAAGGAAGGAAGCACTAGTTCAAGTGGTTTACCACTATCCCTAGGGCCCCTGGGCTGGGACCTGAAGTAGAGGGCAGGCCCGGGTCCCTCCCTCTCCACTACCCTTCTCTGGGTTACTAGTGGGACAGTAGATACC